GGGTTCACACACACAAAGCTTCGACTGTGTCTGAAACAGAAGGCAGCTTCCCTGCTGACTAGTCAATCAATGACTTCACAGACAGCAGTTTTTGTAAAAAGGTACCCGGAATAAGGAAACAGGTCTTCTAAATTATGGACCAAAGAGACGGACTTCTAACACACTATAATGCTACACAACATATGAGCTAAAATCAATTCAAAGCAAACATTTAAATAACAACGAAAGAAATCACAAAGTATTAAATATGTAAAAAAGCATTTATTTATTATTATATTCTGTCTAATTAGGCCTGGGCGATAAAACGGTATCGATATTTATCGACCGTACACCCTCTTCGATAACGATATAAAAAATTATTGATATAGTGCACAATATAGGCACGTGCTATGAGTGACGCAGACAGCATGCACAAACACGAACACATGCTGAATTGAGTGCTGTGACTGCCTGTGATGAGGAGATTGTGAATTATAATACCTATCTGTAATAATAAAGTAATAAAGTTAAAACTGATATGTTCCATAGCTCATGTTATACAGGACACCTTCCAGAACTGTGTACAAAGTAAATATTTCATTAACCTTGCTGACAGCAAATAACGGGGCAGGGAAATGCACAATTGTGCCAACTGTAAGAGAACAACAGTGGTTTCGGACAAATGTGCCTGGGCACATGTGTGTCTGTCACAACAGTTATTTACTGTTCTTTGTGTGTATCATAAAACAAGATATAGTTCAGTATACAGTCCGAGTGCTTTAGGTGTCATTGGCCCTGAGCAGGGGGTGGCTGGTGAATTATCGAGACACAATGCTTCTCTGTTTGAGACGAGCTAGACTGCAAGCACATGTCTCGCAAGAGATTGTCTGCTGAATATACACTGTTGGGTTTTGTGAGGAAAGAATGGCATTAACTGGCCAACAACGGAAAGAATGTTTCTTCATAACACTCAACATGTAGCTAAATCCTGCACAACACTGACAGAGCCTTGCCTTCACTATTGTGTTTTATACTCCAAACAAGGCCAGTCTGGTTATAATAAATCATCCAAGCGTGTCATTCTCATCATGGATATTATGAGAATGACACATTATGAGGGTATTATGACACACATACAGTATATATTTTGAAAATATTTACATGTATATACATTTATATATTTATATTGTTATATTTTATATTATATATAAGTATATTTAGTATATAAACGTAACATATTTCTCTGAAATATATACATGCATGTGTTTGTATTTATATATACATAATAAATATGCAGTGTACACACATATATTATGTAAACAAAAACTTTTATTTTGGATGCAATTAATCGCGATTAATCGTTTGAC